GGGGAAGTGATGAATAATTGAAACGTATAAAATGGGCATTTCAATTATTTTTTATTACACGTTCTAAGCTTAAAAAACGCAATATATTGTGATAAAATAAATACTATATAAGTTTATCTCGTTTACTGCAAATATAAAATTATATTAACGTCCATTCGAGTTGCGGTTAAAGTGTGGAATCTGTTGAACTGATTAAGCAACAAATCAATGAATTCGAAGATTTAAGCTTATCTCTCGTTCTTCTTTTGCTGGATTGAACAAGGTTTTAACACCATGCCAAATGTATTCAAAGAAGAGCAAAACAAACGAAGCGAATACCAAAAAGGTAAATTTATTCTTTTTATTGGTTTTCTTATTTGTTTTTAAGGTAAATTTAATGAATTATAATATGTTTACCAGAAAAATAAAATTAAAACCAACCCAAATTACCATTTCAATTATTAAAATTCGATCTCATATATTAAAAAAAAAATAAAAAAAAAATAAAAAATTATATATGAGAGAGGAGTGTGTTTGTAAAATGTAGTAGGCTTAGCTGGACTTAATCAACTAACAATCAATCATTCAAACCTAACCTCCAAGGGCTAACCACTTGGGCCTTGTTGTATGCCTATCGTTCTGTATACCGGGCCTTAAACTGAAGTTAACCCAGCTCCATACGGCCCAAAAGCCCAATTGCCTCCCCTATTCATCGCTAAACCGTTCAACCACCGCAAATCATAGTAAATACGATGGTATCCTTTCGCTTTCCGTTCTCGTTTTCTCCGACGCCGGCGCCACCTGTGCCGGGCGCCGCTAATGCCTCCTCCCGCCGAATCTCCCGCGCCGCTGTTTCTATCGCCGCCGCAATATCAGTCGCCGGAGCCAGCATTGCAGTTGTCTCCCAAAACCCCAATGGCCAATTTCTCCAGAACACGCTGAATTTCTTCGTTTCCAGAGGAACTGGGAATCCTCCGACGTGGGGCTCGCTTTCTATCGCCGGAGATTCGTCTCCGGTGACCGAATCGAGGACAGGAGTGTCATTTCCTGCTGTTCTTAAGGATTCCCAGCGGCTCCTGGGTGTTGGATTGCGGCGAAAAGCTGTTCTAGGGTTGAAAAATATTGATGTTTATGCTTTTGGTACTGCATTTCTCAAATCCAATCTTCAGTTTCAAAAAATTATCCCTTTCTCTTAAGTGTTATTGTTGTGTTATTTGACACTCTTTGGGCTATTGCTGGTAAGTAACATTTCCTCGTTAAAGGAGATATATTCATCTCTCAAATTCAATGGCATTTTGCAGGAATGAGGTTATCTCTTGATGTTAAGTTAGGTTTAGAAACGGGTGAATTTTAGTAGGTTGATCTTCTTGTTTTGGTTGTTAATTCAAGCCATTGTTCTTTCTCTCTCTCTCTCTCTCTCTCTCTCTCTCTCTCTCTCTCTCGGGTTTAAAATTCAGGTTGATTGAAGGGCACCTGATCTTGATTTTCGAATTATTCATTTTTCAGTGTTTTTCTTCTCCGCAATCGATCGGCAAATTGAAATGTTGATATTTGATTGGTTTGCTTTTATTGCATAGGTGTATATGCTGATGATGCTGATGTAAAGAGTTGCCTTAGTGAGAAATATGGAGATTTTTCAGCTTCCGAGTTGAAAGGGAAAGAAAATTTGAAAGATGATCTTATGGAGTGTGATGCAAGCATGACTATTAGGCTTCAAATAGTGTATGGCAGACTGAGCATTCGGTCCGTTCGAAGTGCTTTTGAAGAGTCGGTTGGTATGAGATTACAGAAATTTGGCGGGTCGGATAATAAAGATTTGCTGCAAAGGTAACTATCTTTTTGTTCTTTTTATCTAAATTTAACAATGTTTTGGTAAAGAGTTGAATGACTGCTTATTACTGATTTCTACAGGTTCACCTCCCAATTCAAAGATGAATATAAAATACCTAAAGGTTCGATCATTGATCTGTCTAAGGAGCAGGGCTATGTTCTTCGCACGATGAGTAAGATTTTTCTTCAGTAAACAAAACATCTACTTTCAGTATTTACCATTAGGAAGCGAAAAAACTGTTTTGTGTGGATCATGAATTGCAAATTGATAGTTTTAATCATTACCTCT